AGACATTTGGTGTCTAAGCGCCGTTTCCCTAAACGTGTGTCCTCCCACGTCCCTGACGCTGTGCCGCCAGGACAGCGGCTGGACCACAGGCTGCGCTGGCAGGGAAGTCCGGCCTTGGGCCGCTCCTTCGTGGATGGACTGGAGCTGGACGACGGCGGGCAACTGCGTGTCCGGCGCGGCGGAGTCTACAGGCTGCACATCCAAGTGACGCTGGCCAACTGCTCCTCCTCCACGCGGGCCGCCCGGCCTCCCAGGGCCACGCTGACGGTGGGCATCTGCTCCCCGGCCGCCCACAGCATCAGCCTGCTGAGGCTCAGCTTCCACGGAGGCTGCGTGGCCGCCTCCCAGCGCTTGACGCCGTTGGCTCGCGGGGACACGCTGTGCACCAACCTCACGCTGCCTCTGCTGCCCTCCGCAAATGCTGATGAGACCTTTTTTGGGGTTCAGCTGGTGCACCCCTGACTGTTGCGCCCCCTGGCCCAGATTTGTCGGGAGAGTGTGTTTTCTCTCTCTCTTTTTTTTCCTGTCTCTTGTAGAAGCTTTTTTCTTGATGTGTCTCTGTAATATAGTGATGTATAACATCTGATCGGTCTTAATCCTTGCTGCTAGCTTAAGCTCTTGGAATTTCCTGTGTGGCGAGCGGTCTGCGTGCCTTTTGTTGTGTTAATGAGGTGACTTTGAGGAAAGCCCTGAGGTCACCTGGAGAGGTGGGAGTTGGAACTGTCCCTTCCCACTGGCCTGACCTCCGAGGAGGGGAGAGAGGCTGCAGACAGCTCAGCCAGCAACGGCAAGTGATTTAACCAATGGCATCCGTGTCATGCTCAAAAATACAGAAGGATGGGGTTAGAAGCTTCTAGACTGGTGAGCGAGTGAAAGTCCTGAGAGGGTGCTCACCCGTCGAGAAAACACTGAGTGAGGTTGATGGAACATCACTCACCACTTCTGGTTAGGCGCTGCCTGACTCATACTGGTTTTTGTTCAAATAAAGTCTCAAAATGTTGATATGCCTCAGTTTATCTTTTAACAGATCTCTATAGTACTTGTCACCTTTGAACATATTAGAAGAATCCACTTACTTATTTTGCTTGTTGGCTGTCTTCCCCCCACATCCCACTGGAATGAAGACGC